TGCTAAGCCACAGATTAAACCTCCAAATAGGTGATCACAAATTTACATATTGAATGAGCTCTCAAATAAATCTAGTCACGAATTATTATATCAAAAATATTGAAGCATAAAGCATAAAGTTATTTATTTCCTATGTACTCCTAAAACCAACCTTTTCCTAAGATATCACTATATCTATCACAAATCTGTGCTTAAAACTATCGAAAAGTATTACTGTTAACACACAATACAATATAGTGAAAAATTTGCCCAGCATTCGGAACAAAGCAACACATCAACAATATATGCAAATGTGTTACCTCTCAAAGATGATCAATCACAATTCTGAAATTTTCCTTGCACACACAAAATTTCCTCACAGGCACTAAAAATAATAATAACTCAATGCAACCTCATGTATAAAGTTTTAGTTATAGAAAATACCCCAAATTTCTAGTTCTAAAAAACCCCAAATTACTAAAATCTTATACAAACATTATCAACACAAAAATTAATTGAAATTAACGAGAAATAACTAGTGTGATTGATTATAAACCCTAAATCAAAATCTTTTACAACTTACATTTATAAAATCAACCCACAAATCATTGTATACATACCTTTACTATAAATAAGAAATCTGGCACCTACAAAATATGAGAAATGGCGTCAAAGCCTTGTGATGATACATGAGCTTCTAATCTAATCGAAAGTTAGGGTTAGGTTTTTGGTCAGAGACTGTGGGTTTTGAGACGCACAGAGGAGTAGCTTTGAGACTCACTTGCACAAAGCACAAAGCATGAAACACATAGAAGATAATGTTAGCGTTTAAACTATCGGGGCCATTTTTGGTTATTCAACAACCGAAAATAAATTTTAACTTTTCGGCTGTTGAACAGCCGAAATTCCAGCCATTTCGATTGTTGAACAACTAAAAAAGGGTAAAAACATATTTTTTAAAAAAAAACTCATTATAAAATGAAAAAAAATGGACATTCCAATAATAACGAAAAATATTAGGTATTTTGGTAATAACAGAAAGTATAACAGATATATACGTAATTTTCTCTTATTATTAATTTGAAATATTTATTATAGAAATGGTGATCATTTAAAAAATTTCTTAAATAAATATTTATTATGAATTAATGACAAATAACAATATCATGAGTAGAATATATTTTATTGGTCATATGTTACTTATAAATTAACATTCTTATTTAATAATTTTATATTTTACAAAAAATGAGTTATCCATTACAATATATTTATTTTAACTTTCATATATTTTTAATATTATGTAATCCATATAGGATATACTTTTCTCCAAAAATCTCTCATGATACATAGATTTTCTTGATCATGTCCTAAAATATTTATCAAAAAAATATATTATTTACTTTTCAAAAAAATAGAAAAATACCCCACATAATGTCCTAAACTTCTCTATTTGAATGTCACATGCCTTACCTCCTCTTCAGATATGAGGTCCTCTTTTTAAACGGGCGACATGTATACATCCTTTAACTATCGCTTAATAAAGTAGTATAGATATAGATAGGATATTTTCTTCACACAAGTTTTGTTTGGAGAGCACCCCCGGCTGGATGGGTCAAACTTAATTTTGACGGCATTGTGAAGGGTCAGATTGCTGGATATGGAAGCCTTCTTCGAGATCATTTGGGCTCAATAATTTGGACTTATTATAGGAGGCTTCATTCATGTGAAGGTGATGAAGGCAAATTGTGGACCTTGAAAATGAGGGTATCTAAATTGGACCCTTCCTTTCCCAGGTTGATCATTGAAGGTGACTCGGCAAATGAGATTTTTTGATGCTCCTTTCTAGACTCCACCACTTGGCGTCTTTGTGGTTTCATAGATGAAATTCTTCTTATGCTTAAGGGTATTGAGGTTATCTTCCATCACGTTGTTCGTGGTTTCAACTCTAAGGCAGATTGTTTGGCCAATGATGCTACGTCTTGACTGACTATATTGTCTATCCTCTCCTTGCATTTTGTCTCTTTTTCTGTTTGTTTTTTCTTTCTCCTTGTAATTCTTTTATTATCTTAATGAATCTCGTACTTTCTCAAAAAAAAAAAACAGATATAAATAAGATATGTTATCTATGAAAAGAAAATCATAGAAAAAAAGAGTTTGGGTTGCAAGTTATTAAATAGGTTGGCCAATAGCCCCAAGTTGGCTAGCCGTTTTTCAAGATGGGTGCGAGTTCAGGCCAAGTTCAACACACGGGATTTGTGGACTAGACTTAGAAGGCCCAAAATATTCTCGAGTCAGGCCTGGCCCAGGCCTAGCTTGCAAAATCTTTCGATGCATATCTTATATAATAAATGTATTTTATGGATTAACTTATACTAATTGTATAGTGATAATTGGATAGCTCTATTCCAGCCTTAAACTAAATTTTCGGGCCTAGGCCCGACCCAAGTCCTATCCCATATGTTTCGAGCCTTGCTCAAGCAGGGCTGGGCCGTAGGTCTAAATAAAATTTTAGCAACATAATCAACGGACTAAACTTACGAAAACTATTATGTTAAGCAGAACAAAATGATCAATCTTTCCAAACGTTTGTTAAAGCAAAGTTCCATGCATGGCACATCGGAGCAAGTAGAGGAGAAAAACATGCTGATCCTATTTGTGTACATAATTAGCAAAGGGATTACCTACAAATAAATCATTTATCATTTGTACATAGAAGTCACAATCATTTCCACTCATTAGATGTCAAATTGGATGGCTTCGGACGGATCACAAAATCTGATAATTTATTTTTTGGATCTTTGTGTCTATTCAATGACTCTTACAACCACTCATTTTGAAAGGATAAGAGTGATTATGACTTCTATGTACAAAAAAATGACCTCTTTGTAGACAATCCCATTAGCAAATCCCCTTACGACAATAAATATACTGGCAATGAAAGCTGTATTAATTCAATTACCCCAAAAAAAAAAACAAATTGAAAGAAAATGAGTGTTTTGAATTGACCTTATTACATCCAACTTCAAATTTTGGTATACATTGTGTATATTTCTGACGGAATTTATGATCAAAGGAACAATAAACAATGAAGGGTATTGTGTATATTTCTGACGGAATTTATGATCAAAGGAACAATAAACAATGAAGGGTATGGTTTGCATAAGGTTGCAATCTTAAACAATCCAATTAAAAGCGCACCTCTAAATTTTATCGTAAATGTAATTTGGATATAAAAAATTCTTAGGATGGCTAGCGAATTTATTTTCATCTCAAATTATAAGACATACACTCTAAAAATGGTTCACATCAAGTAGATCTATAAACACATGAAAATCTTGAAAATAGACGGTCCAAATAATGTGTTATAAGATACATAATTTAGCTGACTCGAAATCTTTTTTTCTTATCATATTCATACATCTCAGTGTCAATTTGATCAATTAGTTTTCAATATCCAAACAACATTTATGATGGATTTATGAGATGAATCTTTAATTCTACATTTTAAAGTTGCAACCTTATATAAATTCCAGCAATAAATTCCTATCGTTAACCAATAAAACTCATTTTTCATACAGAAAATGATTGAAGATAAATTCCTATCGTTAACCAATAAAACTCATTTTTCATACAGAAAATGATTGAAGATAAAATACTAAATTATGGAGACCGGGTTATATGAAGGCCTTTGGAGAATCGAACGTTGAAATGGAGAGAGAGGGAGAGAGAGAGAGAGAGAGAGAGAGAGAGAGAGAGAGAGAGAGAAATGGTCAATAAACCAAGAAATAGATAATATAATTTTCCGATCTTTTGGAAAGTTCTTTTTGGGATAATGATAATATTACTGTATAGAAAGGTATACAAAAGGGATCATTTACTTTTTGTTAGAGATCATTATCCCTATTGTTCGTTAGATTTTAAATTGGATGGTTTAAGAAAATCACTAACTACATTTAAAGTCCAAAAAAAAAAAATTGAACTTTGTGATGCATCCCAAACCATCCAATTTAACATCTAATAACTAGGAATAATTGTGATCTTTATGTAATGAAAATAAATAGTCTCATGTACTATAGGATTATTTATTTTTAATACAAAGTCACACTCAATCTTAGCCATTAGATGTGAAACTCGTCTATTGGTGGAATCATAAAATTCAAAAAAATTTGTTATAAACTTTATACGTATCCAATATCATACACTCAACCATCCAATTTCACATCTAACAATTAACGAGAATTGTAACCTCCTTATATTAAAAGTAAATAGTCTCATTTTATATTTTTCTATATTTTATTTTCGTATGGAGTGCAAATTTAATATTATACCTTTTGAAACCCATCTTAAAGTGAATGTACTTTTGAAAAGGAAAATTGTTTCATAGGGAAGCACATTTCTAAATTTGCAATCCCCGAGATATAAAGCATCCATCTTAAAGATGGATGCAAGTAGGTGGTCCATATAAAAACAATTGAAACTAACAATCTAAAATGTTTTTTAAATATAATTATTATTTTTAATTTTTAAAATTATTATTTTTTCATATTCATGATCCATGTAAGAGATTACATGTCCTTAAAAATTAGTTCCAAAAATCCATCTTAAAAATAAATTTTTAAGAGGTTTTGACCAAATGTACTAACAAAGCTGAGCTAACTTTTTCTCAACATATAGTTTATATTTTATTTTTTATTTTTTTTTTTTTTTTTTTTTAGTAAGTACAATCTAACTATAGTTCAACCGGCAGTTGGATTAACTGAATCAAACCCTAAGAGGGCTAGTCCAACCCTGATAACACAAACTATGTTTCCATTCACTTTCCGAAGCAAAGAATTACCGGTTGTAAAAGATTGCATGTTGATAGCTTTCATCCACTGTAACCTTCAGGTAATTCTATGAAAATCACCTACAATTCATTTCATTGGCAGTATGCATATGCAAACAACAATCCAAGTGTTTCCGATGCACAAAATAATATAGCTGGATTCTCAGGCATCAGCGTTTCATAGCAGAGAGAGAGAGAGAGGAACCATTCCAGTTCTTATCCTTTTTAAGAACCAAAGATTAGGATCCGGATTCACAAGCATTCAGAAAAGGAAAATTGTTTCAAAGGACACATTTATACATTTGTATCCCCTGAGGTATAAAGAATCCATTTTAAAGATGGATGCAAATGGGCAGTCCAATCTAAAAACAGTTGAAATTAACGGCTCAAATGTTTTATTTATAAAATTATTATTTTTAATAAATTTATTTATTTTTACATATTATCTGAAAAATATATTTTAAGAGGGGAATCATAGAAACCATGTCCTTCAGGAAACCTGAACTCTCTCCCCAAAAACTAACTTTTACACATTCTTCCCAAGATACTGAGATGGAGACCCAAATGCCATTATTTTCTGTAAGCTCATTAAGAAACCCTTCCTAATGACCTTCATAGATTATGGAGGTCTCTTTATCATTGATCTTCCTTCTATGATAATCAGGTTATTTTGTATTTTACAGAGGAAGTGACAAAATTGCTAAGAAGCCACAGCACTCACCAGAACATATCTTTACGGTCCGGCCACTGTTATGGCAGAAGAATGAGATTCATATATCAAAAATGTCATTATTTTTTCCCAACCCACTTTGAATGATTAGCCTGTTACCTTCTTCTTTAGCCGTTTTTCTGCCTGAAGGGCTGCCTTGTTTTGGGGTTCTAATACTAGAGCATGCCTGAAATCTGCAAGAACAAGAGATATTACCATGCTTACTGATGAATTTAGATCTATATATGCGCAACCAAACAAGAACAGAATAGTGAATGAAAATACCAAGAAAGCCCTTTCATAAAAGCTGCAACTCAGTTCATGAGTATTCAGGTCACAGAAACAAAAAATACGGAAATACTGAAAAAGTCAGTGAAGTTTGTAGCAAAATCAGCAAGAATGGCTGTTGGCCTCTTGCTCAGTTGCTCCATACACCATGCAAGCCCACAGGAAAAGGGAAGGACCTTCCAATAATGAGGCATCCTGATAACAAGATATTATAAACTAGGTGATGTGAACAAGGTAACTTGTGGGAAATGAGGTGGCAAGCCATTGAAGATCTTTAGAAACCCTTTTCTCAAAAGACGGTAATGATTATACTAGTGTGTACACGAACATGCGAGCTGTGTGTGTATGTGTGTGTGTGAAGAGAGAGGGATCAGTCCTATAAGATCTGAAAATGGTAGGCCATCAGTCCTAGTGCTTCCACATCTAGATAGATAAACTTTCTTATAAGATTTGGAACAGTATGCTATTGAATCCCACTGCTTCCGCATCTAGAGTATCAATATTTGTGAACAATGAACCAATGGTACCAAACCATGTGCTAGAAAAATGAAAAACAGACACCCATATATTTTCTTGGGAAATTCATGGAGAAGTGTCATTTTATTTTCAGAATTTAGAAATAGTCCCACGTTTCATATTTTATATTTAAATCTCATTTTTTTTACACCTGAGAGCATAATGAATTTTAATTTTATTGTATTCTTCCATAAATCAAATTAATCTCAAATTTGGGACATGCATACTTCTTATAATCATGCACCTATAAAACATTTATAAAAAAAAAAATACTTTGAATAAATAAAATTGCCAAAAGTACCCCTGAATGTAGGGTATTTTGGTTATTTTATTATTGATTTATTTTTTAAACTTTTTTAGGTGTGTGATGGTGAGAAGTATGGATGTCTCAAATTTAAGCTCAATCCAATATACAGAAAATAAATTAAATTAAAATACACCATACGCTCAAAAAAGTGGAACTTAGTGTGAATTATGAAATACAAGGTACTATTTCTAAATTCAAAAAAATGGATTTATTTGTAAATTTCCCTATTTTTTATTGTGTTAATGTTAGACAAGAATCACAAGGAAATTTCTTCCCACTCTAGCAGACATATACAATACAAACATCATAATCCTATGCGAGTACAACAGGAAGACACCAACTTTAAAATATCTCTATCATTATAATTTTCAGGATATCATTAGTTGTGAGGACATCAGGGTGGAACACGTCATTCAAAAATTAAGAGTATCATTCTCACCAGTTGAATCCTCTATTAACAAAAACAATTTCAATTATCACATAATACTAGATAACCCTCCAAGCTATAACCACATAATCATTCACAATTTTACCTTGAGCTGCTTCCTTATAGGACAAAAGATTTTCCCTTGCAGTTCCTCGCCTTAAATAAGCTTTCACATTCTACACATGGAAATAATATATTATTAATAGGACACAATTAGTCATGCTTATTATGCATAAAAAATGCATCAAAAAATGTTTCTTATTAATTATCTCCGCATGTTAATCTCTGTACTATACATACAGTTCTTTAAACCTTTGGATAATTAAAGAGGGTGTACATTTTGATGCACAAAGTGCAAAACATGTTGGTTTAAGAAAGTATGGATTTGAAAAACAGGATGTCAGTCATAAGGATAAACCAACTAGTCCTTAAAAAACTTGCGTACAATTAAAATAGGATACTTAAACACCGTAACTTCCATTAGACCAATAGAAAAATTGTTCAATGAGGCCATAAGTTTAAAGTGAATCAAGTTTGTAAGCTCTTGCTCAAAAAGGGACATGTATGTGGGAAGCACAATACATGTATCTTCCTTATCTTTTGTATCAAATGTTTCAAAGGGTACTGTCTTGTTTCCCAATGCTCATTATATATATACACATTTATGTAAGTGTGTATCTGTATGTGGGTGTCGCCAGCAGAGGCAACTGTTAAACCAAAAACCACCTCTTTGAAAGAACTCATCATTGATTCATATACAAGCTTAGGCACCTAGCGATGGAAGACAATCCAAAACCTAAAATCCAACCATTTAAAATATACATGAAACCTTGAAACCCAAGTACAAGTAGATTCATGTTCAAGGTTCAATGATCCCGTGATCCCTCGATTCCATTGCCAAGATCGGTTCAAATGAATTTCCTCCTTGAATGGCCGAAAGGGTATCAATGAAAATGAACATATATGAGAAAGATGGATGATAAGTTTGGAAGGATAAGAAGGAATGATGCCCGAGATAAATCCAAACTATCATATGATGTAAAGCCTTCATTATTCCTTTCTTTCCCACGAAGAAGGGTTTCAATGAGTCTGATGCATAAATCGGGCTTGTAACAGCTCATCCATATAGAAGTTGAATCAATAAGGTTCTATATACAAAAATTCGGTGTCACCATCTTTTTGATACATGTCCGCTTTCCCTGGTTAGTCAACTTCTTTATTACTTAAATCAAGAAACAAGGGATATAATCAATTGCACAGAAAAAAAAAAGAGAAAAAAAAAAAGCAAAGGCAAAAGTCAACAAGAAAGCATGTGAAATACTTTTAATATGCAAGAACATCAATGAGTTGAAATTTTCATAAGAAGTTTCTAAGAACATCAATAACTTGGGTTGGACAAGGTCTAGATCACCACAAGAGCAAACAACAGCGAATAATAAAGCAAAGTCATTCATCAGAAAAACGAAAATATAAATTTGAATATGCTCTTAAAATGTCACCTTTTTATCAAGTAGAATTGCCTGATTACAATCAGCTTCGGCTTGTTGAAAACTGCAGGATCAAACACAGTCAGCAAAGCTACCAGACATGCATGCAAAAGAAAAAACCTACTTATGAACAATGTCACTCTGACACTCAATTCCTGCTGCCATGTCACTTGTTGACATGTATAAACATTTGGATACAGTCTCAACACTTTCAGAAATGGGGCACATTAAAAAAATAGTAGAGCACAAGCTGGGGTTTCAACCTAAGACATCTTGTGTCATGTTATGCTGGTTACCAAATGCCAATTCTATATAAAACATAATATATTTACCTTAAAATCTATTATTTTATTGTAAAATAATAATCACAGGGATATGTCTTTCTGTGTCTCAACATGCATCCAAATCATATACATATGTGCATGTCTAGGTAACATTAACTTATGAATGAACTTTGGGAGAAACATGAATGCCATACCACCCCAATTCTAAGTAAGCTGCGGCACGGTTGGAGTAAAAAGTTGCACTTTCACCATTTATTTTGATAGCTTCAGTATAAAAATTGACAGCTTTATTCCACTGCTTTCTCTTAAATGCAGCATTACCCTACACAGAGGAGAAACCAATTAAAGGAGAATATAAATTCCAGGACAGAATTGTTATTTGCTTAAAAGACCCTGCAATTCCGATGAATGTGACAATCATAGAAACAGCTCGTAGTTTCTCTTCAAGATCAAACTAAGTCTGGAAGGGTAGCATCTCCAGTCCATTACCAGGTAATTCTAATTCACAATTAATACTGGGCCTACAAATCTAAGTGCAAAAGAACAATAAAAGAATATAATTTAGGAACAAGCACATGCTTCGAATCAAGATAGGAGCTATCTTAAGATCAAAGCAATACAGAAGCATCTTACAAATCTAATATCTGCAGGAACATGTGTATGTATACATATACACACAAACTTGTGTCAAACAAACCTTTTCTTTGAAGAGCTCTGCAGTTTCCATGTCTCCTTCACTATCTGATAAGGGTTGCATATCGGAAATAATACTGGCATGTTTTTGAAGAGAAGAGTACAAATCTAGAAGAGTACCAAGAAGAAATCTGTCCCCTCCATATGAAGCTATAAATGAAAGTGATATTGGACAGCCATCATGTTTTCCTAAAGGGATGGTAGCCTGGGAACAAGAAATGTAAGCATAAGCAGATAGGGCAAAAACTGCATACATTGATTTGAAATACATAATACTGGTCAAAAGAAGTATGAAAACACCAAACATAGATACCTGACAGCAACCAGACATCCCTGCAATACTTAATAATATAAAAGCTCTGTTCTCCAACTCATCACACGAGGTTCTCTTTGACTTGAGCATTAAAGGAGGATCTGGGGTAGTTGGGATCACTAATATTCCATCTTCCTGAGAAAATAGTATGATTTACAAAAGATCATGCAAAAGATAGATGACATACATGTTCAATCTGAGTTATATGAACATCAAACCAAATATAGAAACATACAAATGCATGAGGGCACATAAAAAAACTACCCACAATTGCTTAAAGTCACATCAATGCTGCATAACCATATCTTTGGGTTTAATCTCCAAATACTTGAAGAACCAAATATTAGAAGCTCAAGTGCTTTTAATTGGACAAGAACACAATTGTGGGATTATAACCACAGTAACGATCAACTTGGATGCAATGAGCGAATAAAATAAAAAATAAAAAAAAGGAAGAAGAAAGATTGAGTACTTCATTCTCTAAAGCTAGTATATATTGTACCTAACAATTATATGATTCATTTCGCATTATATAGATATAACAATAGACAATTAAACCAAGTAAAACTAGAGGAAACTTTGAGAAAATCATGGACTTATCCAAATTTTATACCATTCCATTTTTTCTTGTTCTGCAGTAACCTGAATGTAAAATGGAATTCAATACCTCTCAAGGATCTAATGCTGCTACAAATCATCTAGCCTCTTATGGATGAACCTATTCTCTAGATTTTTTTTTCCTGTTTAATGAAATTAATTATCAATCAAGAAAAACAAAGCACAAGAGTACAACTCAAAATCTTAATACACAACAAGGAAAATGGCTTAGAACACCTCTACAATTACAAAAAGAATTTCGTGTGCATTCTTCGAGAATGAAAAAATCAAAAGACCAAAAGAAAGAATAACAAATGAAAATGTCCGCCAATATCTGATCAATAAGCATCTGCAAACACAGGGGATGAATGATTTATGCAGGGAGAAAAGGTGGGAAATTGATTCCACCATTTTTCTGAGCCTTAAACAAGTAAGATAAACAATAGTAGAGAAAGAACATGGCTGTAAATCTCGCCAAGATAAGAACTTTCTTCTTTCATAAAATAATATTTATTCTAATAACATATCCCCTCAAACTATGACATCCAACCTTTTATAAGCCTATGAAACCCTAATTTAACTTGAGATCCAAGTGAACATTAATACACTAAAATACCCCTAAAACAATACCAAAATTCCAAAAATACCCATGTAAACAGTAACAAGTGAATACTAACATCTGAACAGTACCATGAATAGTACTTGTGAATAGTAAATAAATAAATAAAAAAAACTTCAAATCCTAAAAACCCTAGAAATAAACCCTAAAATTAAAACTACAATATACATCAGCGAAATTGAATAAACATACACCTAAAGAAGAATTTTGCCCTCCATCAAGGACTTCAAAATAAATCTAAACCAATTATTATAAGCACAAAGGAATACCTTTAAGAGATTACTCATAGCAGCCCGCATTTGTGTTCTAACTGTATAACAAGTCTTTACATTTTCATTTGTGGTGTTTAATGCTGCAAGCACTCGAGCAGAAATATTAGAACTTAAGCTTGGCTTGACACTTTTGAACCAGTCTTCATGATTTGTTTTGAACTCGTATCTGTAAATATAGATAAAACAAAATATTATCAGTGACAAAAAAAGAGCAAAGTAGCCAATCTAAAGGAACAAGTCATATACATGTCATGAGCCATCCAAAATCAAATAAATTTCAAGTGACCATAAAGAAAGGCAAAAATAAGAAATCAAATGCCAAAAGCATGTGACCCAATTTTCAGTTCGAGTCATAATGTTCCATTCTATAACATCAACTATACATACGATGCTCTCTATTGGTATTGAGACAGTGAAAGAATAGTAGATAATGAAAAGTACACCAAGAAGAGCACATTATAAGAAATAAAATTAGACATGAGCAAAAAAAAAAACAAAAGAAGAAGGTAAAATATCCGGAACCAACCACTGCGGCCAAAATTCTAAAGCCTTTATTATTTCAGAAAAGAAATAGCAGCTTCCATATAATATCTTTCTAAAATTAATGTTATAAAACAGCATATATATATAAAATAGAATTTCAATGTATGAAATAATTGCAACAAGGTTCCCTGGCATTAGAAGTCACAGCAGATACCTGTGCAGCAACCTCATAGCACTGGAAAGAGCTTTCAGACTAGAAATTCCTTTTTGCACATCATCTGGTTCTCGAAATTCTTTCAAGCTCGGTACATTTGAGTCAATGTACTTCCCAAGATTTATGTGCTCTGTAACTTGGTCTTATTTTTTATGGAAGAAAAGGGACAACAAGTAATTAAGTCAGAATAATTTTGACACGAAAATATTTATCACAAATGATGTATAGAATATTAACTTATCAGTAAAAAAATAAAGTTGTTGTTAATATCTTAATGACACCACATCAAATTACATCTCTGCAAACTTCTACTTACATCCAGATAACTTTTCAGTTGCCTGACGGACTACGTAAACAGTCTTCTGTTTGGGAACCTTTGAAAGTTGGAAGCAGTCATCAGCAAAGATAAAGCGCCTTGACCTTCTTAAATCTGAGGATGGCGCTTGTAGCAATACATGACCAACATGATGCAAAATAGATGGATCTCGAGCAAACCAACCTGCATATTTGATCAATCTATGTCATGAAAATGTTCAGCAGATACTGCAGATGAGTATGGATAGATTTAGAAAAACTGTGTAGACCCATTAATCATATTAAGGGATTAATCCCATTAATAAACATCTGACTGGGAAATCAAAGTACATAAACTCCCCGGTACAGATAGTACACAAATACCCTGGAATAACAGAAACTACACAAACCCAAAGTTACATGACTACAAACATCTGAACAAACAAATAGCAATAATCAATACAAATACATGACGCCTGCAACAAAAACCTAAAATTAATTTCATATAACGATATTTCCATGCATGAAAAATTGTTTATGCATATATATATGTAAAAATCATAAATAGATACAAGTGTGTATAGTGTCCTTAAAGTAATTGTTTGAGCTGAGCTATTGTCAGCAAAAAAAAAAATTCTAAGAATATAAATTCATAAAAGTAAGGCAAAATATCAATAAATCGGTTGAACAACCTCAAAAATTCAATGAAGTGGTAAAATCAACTAATTTACCACAGAACCTCAGCTATTTTGTTACAAAATCTCCAATAAACGCCTGTTCAGAGTTTGGGACCTTGAACCAGTAAGGGAAATTTTGGTAACATGGCCTCTTAAGTTATTTGAGCGAAATGACTAGATACTCTTCTTGTTTTAGGTTCCCAACCAAGCACATGCTTTTCCTACTAAAAAATCTTCTCCTGGGTTGGGGACTAGGACAAGAAGGGGTATCCACATCCTAAATTACAAAAATGCTCCTCCTTGTTCAATGTTGAGAACAACAATGTTTTAATGAAAACATTTTATCAATGTGAAATCCAGAACAAGTAGGAGTATTTAAGTTATTTGACTCAAGTTACCAAAATGCCTTCATTTGTTTAGGGTCACAAACCCAGAACAAAAGCAATTTGGGTAATTTATAATAAAATTCTTGAGAAGGCATCAAAATGGAAAGGTTTTTAAATATTAACAACTTTGTTGATAATTGTTGATTTAAGAAACTGATTGATTTTTGTAACAGTTTGACCATTTTATTGATATCTTCCCTAGAAATAAAAGCATTTTTCAAAATAGCTTTTCCCTTAACTATTTTCAAAAGAAAACACCAAAAGGATCAAAATACTAGCTCACTTGGTTTATTTTCTTTTATTTTGTGTTTTTTTGTAAGGTGAAAAAAAGAATTTACAGTTATTTTGAAAATAGTTTTTTATTCCTTGTTTGAATTTTTTTGATATCAGCTTTATCTTCACTACGAGGGCACACTCCTTGCACCTGTTAAGATATTATGAAATAGAACAAAAAGATACTAACTAGTATTGTATAAAATAAAATTGTTTTTTTTTTTTTGGAGGAATTTATAAAATAAAATTTTTAATATAGTTCTTTTTTTTTGATAAAAGTTAACTTTAGTATTGCTATAAAGAGTTGGAATACAATTTGGGTTAATCCGAGAGTACCCACTAGACGGGTCTCTCGGTAAAAAATAGGTCAGCCTCCTGTACAAAAATGGGCTTATAAATTTGCCCGATTAGAATAGCTTTACAATGAGGTTACAAAAATGGGCTTATAAGTTTGCCCGTTTACAAAGAGATGTTCTAATGTGTGTAACCTCTATGGTCCAGAGCAAAAAAGGAGATGGACCGGGTTTGGTCTTCTACTTGGGCCCTAGTCCCGTCCTTCGACAGGAGATCGGCTAACTCGTTTGACGTCCTCGAGGTATGCATTCAAAAGACGACCATATCTCTGCAAATGTGTGCAATCTCGTCAAAAATCGAAGCGAGAAACCATGGAGGTGTGGATCTCCCGATCACCCATGATATGATATTACGCACATCTCCCTCCACTATAAGGTTTCGCCCCCAAGACTGATTGAAGCTTTTGAGGCCCAACAGTAAGGCCATCACTTTGGCATGCTGACAATCTTGAAACCCTAGATACTCGAACTAGGTAAATAGGATATTGTGATGTTGGTCTCTTAAGACACCACTAACAACTGCATGGCCGGGGTTCCCCAGAGGACAACCATCAAAGTGGAGCTTTGTGACTCCTTCTGGGGGTGGCTGCCAATTGCGTGATCGTTGCGTCTTCCATGGTCAGTGGTACAGTATGTTTTCCCATTGGCTTAGGAAAGTATTCAGTGGGAACCCCGCAAAGATCCATTGGTTGGTTGCCCAAAACGTTACTAAGGAGGTAACCCTGTGGAAGAATGTTGGACCTTGGGTAGTAAGGCCTTAAAATAACCTGGAATTTTTGTTTCTATCCAGATCATCCAAACGATGGCTGCCACAGCAGCCCTCCGAAGGATCTGTCCAGCCTTCGGCTAGTGTAAAGCATCGTCCGCAAAAATAAGGTCCTTGACCGTCGGGGGCGTAACCCATTGGACACCGAATAGCTGCAACATTTGACCCCAGAGATCGTGGGCCGTGTTACAATGAATGAAGAGGTGAGGATTCGACTCTTCCTTGCACAGACACATGACACATCTATTGGGAATAGGAATCTCTTTCTTTTGAAGCTGATCCGCTGTAAGAACCCTCTGGGACCCCGCTGTCCAGTTGAAGGAATGCACTCTAGGGGGTGCTATGGTGGATCATACCTTGGATAGTACTGATGGGGTATTAAGAGGGAAAGTGGGAGGTTGGATAAGTCTTTTGTAAAAGGAAGCCACCGAGAAGATACTAGAGGGGGCAAGAAACCATACCAACGAGTCCCTCCCTTGTGTTGACATGAACAAACGATGCAAGGCTGCAGAAAGAGCGAGGAAGTGGATTGTTTCCTCGTGGGAGAGGTTTCTTCTGAATGAGGGGTTCCACACTCTTCGGCCTCCCGCCAACACCATTTCCTTCGCAATGGTTGAATTTTTGTTAGAGGCGATGGAGTAGAGGGAAGGGAAGAGGACCCTTAAGGGAGTGTGTCCGAGCCAAAGAGCTGACCAAAAGCGCGCTCTTGTTCCTTCTCTTGGATGAAACATGATGAATTTGTTTAACAGTGAGAGGGAAGAGGTGAAGGACCTCCACGCTCCTGAGGCCTTGTTCAAAGGTCTCCTCTCTGGCACCCAAATGCCTTCAGAAATCTTATATTTACAGCGTAAGACCTGGGCTCAAAGGGAATCAGGCTGAGTTGCAAGACGCCGCCACCATTTGCCTAAAAGGGCCAAGTTATGTTTCCTAAGGATCCTGATACCCAAACCCCATGTTGTTTGGGTAAGCAGACTTTATCCCAAGAGATTAAATGGTATTTTGTTCTCTCTGCCTGACTCGACCAGAGAAAATTCCTCATAAGTTGATCCAGCTGGTTTGTCACTGAAGTTGGCATTTGGAAGAGAGACATGGGGCAAACCGGGGCATTGACCAATGTTGCTTTGATCAATGCGGTTCGGCCAGCCTGAGAATTGTATCTCTCTTTCCATCCAACCAAACGCCTATCAACCTTGTCTATCACATGTGACCAGTGTCTCTTTTTAGGTTTTCCCAATCCCAAAGGCAGGCCAAGGTAAGTTGTTGGAGATCCTCAACTTTGCATTCCCAATGTGGGATAAGCTCTCTGATTTCAGAGTTGGCTGTCGCTACCCCATCATTGTTTATTTTTCCATGTTGACCTTGAAACCTGTGGCCACCAGGAAACATTTGAGGTGAAGCCTCAAGTTTTCAATTTCTTGTGAAGAAGCATCTAGGAATACCAATGTGTCATCTGCATATTGCAGATGAGACACTGTAGGGCCTTGATGAGAGGTTTGAAACCCGAGAGGAAACCTGCCTGATAAAGACGAGAGATAGATCGGCTGAAAACTTCTGTTGTAATGGCGAAGAGAAAGGGGGAGAGAGAGTCCCCTTGGAATAACCCCCTCGAGGAGGAGAATAAACCTTTTGGGGTTCCGTTTATGAGGATCGAGAAATGAGGGTGAGAATAGCAACCTCTCATCCATTTTCTCCAGCGATCTTGGAATCCCATTCTTACCATTGACTCATCCATTATGGACCAATCAACATGGTCGTACACTTTCTCCCATTCTATCTTAAAGATGAGAACAGGCTTTTTTGAGAAGTGCCTAGAGTGAATGCACTCACGTGCTATTAAAGCTCCGTCTAGGATTTGTCTATCTTTGATGAAGGCAGACTGCGACAGTGAGATGACAGAGGGAAGGATTTGTTGTAATCTTGAGGTCAGAACCTTGGCCAGAATTTTGTAGGTGGAATTGAGCAAACTGATTAGGCGAAAGTCCTTAAGCTCCTCAGCCCCTTCAACCTTGGGGACCAAGGCAATAAAGGTGGCGTTGATGACTTTGTGGAGAATTCCCCGGAGGAAAAATTCCTCAAAGAAACTCATAAAGTCTAGGTGAAAGGTTTCCCAGAAGATTTTGAAAGGTGCTACGGGGAACCCATCCAGACCGAGGGCTTTGACTTTGGCTAAGTCCTCTAAGGCTTTCAGGATTTCGTCTTCCAAAAAAGGTCACTCAAGCCAAAGAGCCTGGTCCTCCGAAAGAGTTAGAAAATCCAGGTCGGCCATTTTAGGTCTGAGACCCAAAGGGGCAGTGTAGAGGGCCTAGAAGTAGTTTAAAATTGCCGATTCGATTTCTCCAGGTTGTACCAGATAACAGTTATTTGACTTGATAGTCAAAATGGTATTGTCTCTCCTGCGACAATTTGCTATCCGGTGAAAGAAGCGTGTGTTATGGTCCCCTGCTTTTAGCCAATGTACTCTCGATCTCTGGAAGCAGTACATTCTTCTTTTTTAAGGGTGGAAAAGCATTCAAGCTTAGTTTGGGTCCTCATGTTTGATTCAGAGTATGTTAAAGGTCTAGACTCTTCAATGCGGTCAAGATCTTGTATGGAGTTTAGGAGGGAGGACTTAATTTGAGAGTTATTCCCAGGGATGGATTTACTCCCAGGTCTTAAGGGAGGCTTTGAGGAGTTGAATTTTAGTTTGGAGCCTATAGCCTGCTCTTCCAAACCCTGGCCAGAGAAGGAATTCCACCAGATAGGAATCAGGG